CACATACTTATATACATGTGTAGAGTCCAGATATCAACATCAGTAGTCTCTCTCTATCACTCCTGTAGTTTTTTAGACTGGTTCTTCCCCTGGATCTGGGGCTCTGATTTGGCATGACTAGCTGTCCCATACGCCACAGGATTCTCCTGTCTGCCTCCCTGTGTTAGGATTACAGGCACACATTGCCATATCTGGTCTTCCTCATGGGTGTTAGGGATCCAAACTAACACTTTACTAAGCCATCTCCCTCGTCCCTCACATCATCTCTTATTCTGACTCAAGAACTCGGGATGGAGGAACTTACCACACATGGGAAGAAGGCCGCAATCTGGCCGGATATAAACAAGACCTCTGCTTCCTCTTATATTTCAGGAGGACAGAGCTTATAGGTGAGGAGTTCCCGGTCTCCATTCCTAACATCCTCTGGCATTTGGGATGAACCTACCTCCCAGAATCCTCCAGGGGAACCTACCTTCCTGGGCTATGGTTGAGAAAGGAGCAGCCTGCCAAAGGGACCTTCTTCCTCACAAAACAGCCAACCATTTGCAGCTATTTCATTTGCAAAGGTTTCCTGCTGTGGCTAAACAGTGAGGCCACTTGGTTTGTTATTTAAAAGAGTGACCCTAATGAGACCAGAGCTCTGAAGAGGAGCAAGTCTTATTTCAGCCAGTGAGAAGAGCTAAGACAAAGAGTGCCTAATTGAATCCCTAGGAGGTCTCCAGACATCCATGCCTGGTGACAGTACCTCAGGCCTGGGGATACCTCTTTATAAGTCCCAGCTAGTTAACCCAAGCCTTTCTGAACTTGTTTAAAATGATCTACTAAAATATCCCCAGCAAAGACTTCGAATTGGAGCTAAGAGCCACCAAAAGCTATGCTTGCAAGGAAAGGAAAAGTGAAGACATGGAGAGGAGCAAAGGAGTCAGTGTATGGATGGGGAGAACCTGGGGACAGCTGTCTAGCCAGCAGGGAGACAGGGGAAGGACCGTTGGAGACTGAGGCAGGAGAACATATCCACCAAGTAGAGAAGCAAGCAGGCAGGGCAGGCTGAAGCCACTGCCTGAGTAACACATTGAAAACATCAGGTGACAGTGGACCCTGTCTGCTCTGCTCCTCCTGCTCTTTCCCCTCCTCCCTGGAACCTGCAGCGTTGTGAACCATCTCCACTGTGCAGTCCCTGCCTGGGTGCTTCGGGTTAGCAACACTTGAGACAGCGGAAAGACAAGTTGTGGCTCATTAGTTGTTGTTTTTCAGGGGGTGATATTTTTGAGCCAAGATTGTCTTATACTGTAGTCTAGGCTAGTCTGGAACCCACTATGAAGCCAAAGCTGGCCTCAAACTAGCACCATGAACTCAGAGTATCCTCCAGAGTGACACTGGCTCATCCTGACTTAGCTCTAAGGAAAGAGGGCAATTGAGAGCTAGGGAGATAACACAAGGCCTCTCAGACCCAAGAGATGCTGAATAAAGGTTAAAGCAATGGTGGGCTCAGGGTGCGGACAGAGCCCACGCTCCAGAGGTGACATTTACACTCTAGTGTAAGATGAACTAAGCCAGAAATAATATACCTGAAGGTTGCTGTTTACCCTGGGGGAAGGTTTTAGACAAAAGTGGGCAAGCTTGAACTGCACTCACAGGCTTACCATTACGTTCCCTTGATTTGTGCTGTTTGACAGATGTTTTGGTCTCAGGAGTCCTTGGCCTTTAGCTTCGCTTTTAATCAGCAAATACTTGGGAAGCTAACGTGAATCAGTGTGAACTGAACACTAAAAATAACAGAAGAGTGCACGGGTCGACGGAGCCAACTCAACGGGAAGGTTTCTCACCTTGGAAAGAACAGCCGGCTCGCCACCCCCTCTCTGTGGAGTGGATGTGTACTCAGACCTGGAGGACCCAACTCACATCCTTCCCTGTGTCACACGCTGTGTGGGAATAAGGACAGAGAAACGAAAAGGCAGAAAGCGGCTGCTTGCTCTCCTAGAGCTTTTTTAAGGAACCTTCATTAGGAAAGCGTTAGATTTAGTGGAGGCATGTAATGGGGATGTCAATCCAAGGCTTAAGATTATCTTCCCAGGGGAAGTCATGACCACGGAAGCCCAAGAATGAATGACTAGCACTGGGCAGGTAGAGGACATGTGTATGTGTTTACTGGTGGCAGAGGGCTTGCTAGGGAGTGTTCCAGAGTGAGGAGGCCTAGAGTCATAGTTCAGGTGGCAGAGGGTTTGCTGAGCATGCCTGAAGCCCTGGACTTGATCCCCAGCACCACATACACATAAACTGGATATGGGGGTGTACAGCTGTAGTCCAAGCAAGGAGTCAGGGTGATTAGGAGTTTAAGATCATCATCCCTGGACTACACTACAAATTCCAGCCTGGGGTACATGATGAAACCCGATGACAAAGAGGGGATTTGGAAGTGAGAGAGACTGTAGTGTTTTTATAAAAACAAAAAACAAATAGAGTGTCTTCTGCACTCTAGGAAGGTCATGTTGATGGGAGAGAAGGCATGAGACAGTTTTGCAGAGACAGGCAGGGCCCATGCTGTGTAAAACTTTATAAACCACATTAAGGAGATGGTTCCTTATTAGAGCAGCAATAAAAAGCCATTGGAAAGCATTAAGCAGGCAGGTGATGAAATCCCATTCCATTGTAGTTGCTCTGGTTGCAACACAGATTGCAAAGAAGCAGAAGTGGGTGCAGGGGCGGCTGCTGCAACATAAAGAAGGTGTGCTGGAGTGCTTCAGGAAAGAGGAAGACCCAGCAATGGCATTCCAGAGATGCGGGGAGACTTCAATCCATGGGAAACAGCACACACAGCACTAAGGAGACTTGGAATTTTAATTTCATTAATCTACTAATAGGATACATCCCAGATAGTATAAATTTGGTTAAAAGATTGAAACAGAGTGAGAAATGAGATGAAGAGTTCAGCTTTGCAGACATGAGTTCCCAATAGCCATGGTATCAAAAGAAATGTCTTATCCAGTTTAAAATGCAAGCTGAGACTCAGGGCTGGTGGTACAGGCCTGTAATCCCAGCTACTTAGGGGACTGGAGTGAAACAACTTCAAATGCTGTCTGTGCCACAGAGAGAAACCAAAGCCAGTCTAGGCAACTTAGTCAGACCACGACTCAAAATAAAAGAAAAAGTGTATGTGTGAGCTGAGGCTATAGCTCAGTAGTACAACACTTGACTCACACAGGACCCTAGGTTCAATTCCTAGTACATAAAAAAAAAAATGTATAAAATATGAACCTGGGGTGAGGGTGTGACTGGAGACATAACGCAGGGAATGTGAAGACATTGAGCCCAAGGCCAGTAGTTTAGAAATGAGCAACTCTCCAACAAAGCCCCCAAATGAAAGAAGAATGTACCAAGGAGCCCAAGATGGGGAAACCTGAGAGAAATCGGGGTCAACCAGGACCCTCTGTGCCACCAAGGAATGGTGGGAGAGCAGAACTCACAGCAAGAGGTTATTGGGCTTGAATGGTCACAGTCATGGCCACATTACAGCTGCTTTTCATCTGGACTCTAAATTAAAAGCTTTGTTTTGAGATAGTAGATCTACTTCCCTCTGGAGGTTAAATACGGGTAGTCACGCAAACCTTCAGCAAAGGTGGTTTAACTTTCTCGGGGTGCATTCTAGTATTTTATTTCACGAGCTGGAGGGCAGGTGCCTGAGGATGCAGTGTTTCATGGAGGATGTTCTGTACGTCCTATTTAAACAGTTCAAAATAAATCTTTAAATGGATAGTTCAAAGCCTACTGGTGAGTAAAGAAAGTCAGGTGTTGAACAGCAGTCATAGCTACATTTGTATGAAATTATATATTTAAACCCATATAGATACAGATGTCTAGCAAGATGTCCAGGATGGTTCCTAACTAACTTAGTGATTATATATGGTTGGTTGGAGTTCAGGTCATTTTAATTTTCTTCTTCGTGTTCTTCACCATGGGGTCCTCCTACACTACAGGCCGGAAGCCATGGAGCCAGCCCTCATGGACTGATGTCTCTGAAACCATGACCCAAACTATCTCTTCCCCTCTTTTAAGTTGCTTCTTTCAGGTATTTTACATGAGCAAAACCAAAGCAACTAAAACAGAGGCCTTCTTTTTGTTCTTGCTACAAACCAGACTGAAAGATGCCTCCACCATAGCATGCTGGCCCATGAAAAGAGACAGCGCAGGAGCAAAGGTGAGGAGAAGATGTCTAGTTCTTTAAGGGAAGAACACCTCATATGCTAATAGACCCACGGAGGATGTTCTCCACTCCCTCCTGATGCAGCGTCTTGCCACAGGGAAGTTGATTCCGCTGCTGTCCCTTTTTCTGAGTCTATTGAATCCAGTGATCAAGTACTCAAGGATCAGAGATGCCTGGGTTAAATTTCAAGCTGATCCACTCACAGTCTGATGGAAGACAATTTATTTCTATAAACCTTATTCTCATATTGTTTAAAATGGAAATGAGTTTTTAAAAATCTGACTAATGGGATTATTTGCAAGAGTAAATGAGGTAAAATATGAAAACTCTTATACCACCATCTATAAATGAGAGCTCTGTGTGTGTGTGTGTGTGTGTGTGTGTGTGTGTGTGTGTGTGTGTGTGTGAGTGAGAGAGAGACAGAGAGAGAGGGGGGGGAGGGAGGGAGAGAGAGACAGGGTTTTATATAGCCCAAGCTGGCTAGCTTCATGCTAAGGGTAACTTTGAACTTCTGATCCTCTTGTCCTATGTACCACCGCACCAAGTTTTATGTGGTGGTGGGGCTGCAACCCAGGGCTTTGTATATGCCAGGCAAGCACTCTACAAACTGATTTGCTGTTTCTAAGATAAGAACACAAAGAACAGGGTTTAACTGAATTGCTCTCTGACCATGACCAGGTGCCATTTCAAAGCCGGCCTTCAGCCTGTTGCCATCCTGAACCGCCTTTCCCCGGTCCTGCACCTCCATCCCTCTCTCCTGGTCCTCTCCATGTGCTCTGCAGCACTGCTCCACACTTACCTATTCAGCATGTTAGACTGGTAGATCCTCTTCTCGTGGGTGTTGTAACAACTGCTCTTGGGCTCAGGGATGAAACTGTGTTCGGACAGCATGTCGGAAGCAGCAGTGGTGATGATGGCAATCCCGTCTCTCACTCTGGCAGGAAGGCCATAGTCCCATTCATCATAGGACACAGAGATAAGCCCGGTGGGGAACTCGGAGGGCACCGTGTCTGTATCCCCCGCCACCAGACTAGGCACGATCCATGTGTAGCCATAGCCCGTCAGCCCGACCGAGTTGGCTACCTCAAATATGTAGGTGGCTTCTTCCTTCGTGCAGTAGAGGAGGATGATGGGGCTCTGGAGCTTCTTCAGCTGGTTCTGGATCTTCGAGTCGCCGTCATCCAGAGACATGTCTAGCAGGAGGACTTCCTCCAGCTCCCAGCCCACGAAGCTGTTCTCGATAGTACTGCGGATCTTGTTCACAAAGTCCTGGTAGCCAGGGAAGTAGGTGGTGACGATGGAAAAGATGTACCAGTCGTATTCTTCCATGATGTTGAGCATGACGGAAGCTTGCTGCTCAATGGATGGGCCAAACTGGAAGAACATGGAGGATTCATCCTAGAGCAATCAAAGTGGAAAAAAAAGAGAGAAACAGAAAGATCAAACGAAACTAGCCATGGCGATTCTGAATCAACCGGATACAAAAGTTCAGGTTCATCGTTGTTTTTTTCATAGAATTTTTCATTTTCAAAATTTTCAGTAAAAAAATAATTGAATGTTTTTTGAATTCCAAACATTTATAATAAATTCATTCCTAAGAGTATTTCCTGGCATTTGGGAAAGGAAACAGAATTGGTCTATGAGTCTTTTTGTCTGAACTCCTCAGGGTCTTAGCTTAAGATAGCTCCTCAGAAGGAAACACATTGATATTTACACAGTAGAACATCAAATAATCCAAAAGTGGAAAGAAGAGTCCAAGGGCTCATGCCAGTCAGGTGAGTTGCCCACATGCACACAGACACAGACAGACACACATAAACACACATGCACACACACGTACCCTTTCTCGAGGACTTTAAATTTCTGAGTGTGCAGATTTATATTATTCAGCACCAGAATGAATAAACTAAGGTAACACGGGTCCGCCCTTAGGCTTGTCTACATGGCTGGTGTAAGCAACACTCACACACAATGGACCTGATTCTTGGCTATTAGGAACCAAAGAGAGCATAAAGCTGTTAGTAACACAAGTCCTATAGTACTGAGATTGAAGCCAGGTTCTCATATGCTCTGCGCTACCACTGAGTCTCTCTTCCTTTCCACCAAAAAAAAAAAATGGCTGATATAGGTTCTCACTCGGTTTCCCAGGCTGGACCTAGACTCACTCTATAGTCTCAGCAGGATTTGAACTTGGAATCTTCCTGCTTTGGTCTTCTGAATAGCTGAAATGACAGGTTTGTGTCACCAGGGCATGCCTACTAGCATTCTCGATTAACCTAGCTTATTCTCTAACTGCTGCTCTGATAACAAGATCCACAGCTTAGAGCAAGGTTCAAACAGCACCTCTAGACCAAATATTAAAATGCCGGTAGCTAGACTCTTCATGTGGCGTGCTTGATTTTAGAGCAACCTATAGCAGAGGGCTTGTTTTCTAACCCATATAATGCCACAGGTCTTAGACTCCTCTGTGTACTACACAGACCCACACACATGCACACACACACACACACACACACACACACACACACACACACACACACACACACACGGAGCCAATTCTGAGCATCTTGTTTTCCTCCCTTTCCTTTTGAGGGAGAAGCCATTTTAAATTCCTCCCATTTTAAGCTGCCCTTCACCTGCTGTTTTGCCACGTCCAAGCCTGTAGTTCAGCTCCACCTTATAGCTACAAGAATCTGAACACACAAAATGAATACCCTCTCAGCCTGTCCCCTAATCCATTTCCCTGATTCGTTTCTGGTAATGGAGTACTTTTCTCAGTTTGTGCCCCCACCTTCCATCTGAGGGCTTCTGTCCATTTTGAAATAGCTAACACAATTGCCTCTCTCTTCAAAGGACATTTCCTCCCCACTCCCAACAACCTGGGCTTTAAAGTGTAGTTACGAGAGACCAAGAAATTCGGCCTTTAAGCAAAATTATATAGCCATTTCTTAGTTCAGGAATAAATAGTCAAGAAACAGCCAAGTATTTCTCTAGTGCCAACTATTGAAAAAATACCGGCTGGAAAATACCCTACTTTTATCTCAAGACCCTAGTTGGGCAGTGAGAGCTGCCAGTCCCTCGGCTTTGCCAGAATAATGTGTGCTTCCCAAGCTTGAACTGGTGACATGGACCCCAGCCTATCCAGAGTGGAGGAGATGACTGCCCAGCAGTGGTGAGTCTTCCTGCCAAAGGTGCAACGCTGCTCACCCTTACTGTGCCCGTCTCCTCTGGGCTCAAACATACAGCCAGAGACGAGCTCCAAAAGGCTACAATAGTCCGAGAAGTAGGGAGGATGAAGCAACAAGAATAGATAGCTAGAAAAAAAGGGAATTCACTCTCACTAGAATAATTAATGCAGCTTGTGTGCCTATTCTAAACTCTGGCTAGTCCCTGCCCTTGGACTTCCCCTATAACACAAGGACTATTCTTCAGGGGAAAACGACCTGTTCTTCAGCTGTAGGTTACACCTGTGATGTGGAGTAAGTGTTGTCCATCTCTGTTAATAAATTCTAACCTCCAAGATGAGAGTAGGAAGTGTTGTCCTTGAGAGATGATAGGTCTCGCAGGCATAGATCTCACAAATGGGATGAGCATCCTTATAAAGGAAACTCCGGAGAGCTGCCTTGACTGATCCACCACGAGTGGACACAGAGAAGCTGCCTTGACGAGCCAAAGCAGAAGTCCTCACTAGATACCAAATCCGCTAGCACTGCGATCTTGGACTTCTCGGCCTTCAGAATTATGAAAACTAAACTCCTGTTGTTGATAAGCTGTCTCCCTTATGACATTTTTATAGCAGCTTAAAATGACTAAGACAAGTGGGTATTCAAGACAATGAAGCTTAATTATTCCAACACTTGTCAGGGACCCACAGAGAACCTCAAGGGAAAAAAGACAGAAAAGAAAGCCCATTGACAGAACAGCTCATCTAGAATAGATGCTGCTTTGAGGAGATATCGACTTGATTTTCTTGTAAACACCGTCTTGGAGATTCTCAAGTGGGAAATCTCATCCTGTGAGTTTCCACAGCCCCAATGGTTACACATAGTGAAAACGCTTCAATATACTTAAAGATATATAGGACCAAGGGAGAAGATCCCAAGTGCAAATGAAATAAACCGACCTGTTCTGTGATGGGTGAACAGAATTTAATCACTAAGAGACTCTTGAATGTCCACAATGTTCCACATATGGTAAAGCCATATTTGGCACAAATGCACAGCAAGTATAAGCTTTGCGGAAAACTCATAGTTGTCCATCTCAGATGGTCAGTGTTAATGATATTGAACTTAGAGAATGAAAAACTTGTTAAACAACAACTTGACCCTCTCTTCTTCTGGTCTTCTCTTCATGTCTTCCCACAGTTACAAATGAACTTGTAAAGATACTACCAGCTACTATGCAAAAAAACAAAACAAAACAAAACAAACAAACAAACAAACAAAAACCAAAACCCTAATCTATAATGAGAGTGAAAAAAGAAAATTTAACATGGTAGTATCACATGCTTGTTGCACTCTGAGCATGCCTTCTAATCCCATCATCATCTATCACCCCTTTTCTATACCATCCCTATCATGCCTACCTTACCCATCCTGTACTGCCAATCCTTCTTATTCAACAAGGATGTCTTCTACAACCATTTTATCTGCCACAAAATCAAGTTTGGTGAAGCCAAATAGAAATCAAGAGGCAGAGTCATGGCTTGTGCAAAGGTTTCTTATATAATGAGGAGTATAATGTTGCTTATTTAGTTGACACTTCAGGCTGGTGTACAGTGGTCCATAAGAGAATAGCTCTTTTTTTTTTTTTTCCAACAAAGCTTTGATCTAACTCTAAGCTACAAATGGTGAGAGGCTTTGCAAATTATAGCCTCTGCCACAATTCAGAGCACAATATTCATATGTGCATGGAGTGGAAAGTACTGGTGGCCACACATCCATCTTTGCAGGCATCCAGCATACACTATGATCACCCACTAGCGATCAAGGATGAAGGACAGAGACATAATTCTGTTTGCAGCTCACTCTGCTTCCCCATGAACATTTTTATCTCTTAATGATATTACAAAATGTTGACACTCAGGGGTCCTTGGAGCAGCCACCTCCCCCAGTGAAAATTTCCAGCTAAATTTATTGCATGAATGCACTTCAACTTGCCTTGAGAGCATCTTGAAAGTCTTCCTGCATAAAAGGCTGCCTTAACTGAGATGGGCAATTAGCACAGGGGAGGTAGAATTGTACATTAGACCCCATCAGTCTACAACCTTTATACTGTACTTCCATTACATTGATGTTCACAGTGTTTATTTGCTAATATGAAGAAATAAAAAGAAGTACTTTTCATCCCATTATCTGCCTCAGAAAACAACTGCCTGAAGAATTAGCAGCACAAGAAGTTTTTCATCATCCAGATCCCCTACTGATCTACTTCTGAAATAAATAACTAAGCATCCCAGTGACCACAGTGCCCATGGCAACAGACTTCATCTCAGTATCCTGCCCCAACATACAAACCACTGTCTCTCAAATGAAATGAGCTATTCATCTACAATTACAACCTCTTTCTGGAATACAGAGCCTTGCAGGATTGGCTGTCAAGGTGTATGAAGTCCTGGCCCCTTTGCTCTAAGTCCAGACAGCTCTGAAGAGTCTGTCTTGCTTTTGAATTCCCCCAAGGTTAGTAAGAGTGTCCATTATGACTGCATCACCTGTCCTTCTCCTTCTGCTCAGTCCAGCTTTATCTTCCTTTCCCTTTCTTGGTGTTGATGTCAAGAGCCTTCTTTAATCAACCTGCACCCTGCTTTCACCTTCAGCCTGCCTCCCAGGAAACCTGACTCCACTTACCCTCCTTTATAAACACAGAAAGAGGTGTCTTAAATGATTTAAACTGAGGGACTGGGAAGATGGCTCAGTAGGTAAAGTGCCTGCCTTATAAACATGGGGGACATGGGTTTGGATCTCCAACACTCATGCTTAAAAAAAAAAAAGCTGAGCATGGTTACACCTGAATGTAACCCTAGCTCAGTGGTGTAGGGACAAGCATATCCCTGGAACTCACTGGCCAGCCAATTTTGCCAATCAATGAACATCAGGTGCAGTGAGAGACCCTTTCTAAAAAGATAAGATAAACACTGATAGAGAAAGACAACCAATGTAAGGCTGTGGACTTCACATGCACAGATGCACACACACACATACACACACACACACACACACACACACACACACACATACTTACATGCATACATACACACACATACCTTACACATAAATAAAAATAAAGCATATTTTAACATAATATTTATGTTCAAATATCATGGTGATTCATGCAGTAGAAAGATAATCCTCTGCCCATTGGCAGCAGATGTCAAAACTAGGGTGAAAAGGTGTTAGCTG